TGAATGCTTGAGAAGTTGATGAGATTGTGAATTTATATATGTTTGAGAAATTGAGGTTGTGTATTTATTTATTTAGGTTGTGAATTTATATTTTTGTGAATGCTTGAGAACTCGCGGTTTTAAACCGCTAATTCGCAGTAACCGACCGCATTTTGCGGTTTACCGCAATGCGGTAAACCGCAAAACGCTGTCGGTTTGCGGTTTCAAAAATCACCAAACCGCAAATAGTCGGTCGGTTTGCGGTTTGAGTAAAAATTCGCGGTTACCGAACCGCAACCACCCCTAGTCGTAATGCACTCCCTTACAACTTAATTTTTGTTTGTGTTGATGTGAAATAGTAAGTTGCAACTGCCATTCTCAATGATGATCACTATCAATTCGAACATTTTTCATGTTGATGCCCTGTTTTTATCAGTTGGCTACTGAAAATAGAGGATTGAGAAGACAAGACTACGCTATTCAAATTTAGATTATTTTATTTGTTAATAACGATGCTCACTTTATATAATGTCACAATACTATCACACAAATACACTAATATTTTGTATAAATTTAAAAAAAAGAAAAACTCCAATTGCAAGAAAGTTTTAAGTTCACGGAATTTAAGAAAACAACAAAGTTACAAATTGAGTTGCAAATTGTAGCATATATACTATCATACATATACATGAATTCCATTACAAATTGTTGGGCAATCATCTTCCATTGGGATCGTTATTCTCAGAGAAGATTGTCCCAGACATTCCTTTCATGGACTCGTTGGTTGATGAATTGTGATCACTACTACTCTTGGTCACGCTACTAACCTTCAACTCCGATGACGAGTCTTCCCAGCTACAACTAAACCCTGAATCACTTGCATCATTTATTAACGACTCCTCATCTTCACCCTTTTTCTCCTCGCTCAAATTCAGAACTCCTCCTCCGCTTTGTTGAAGCTGCAATGCAAACTCAAGCCCCCACACCACTTCGTTCATTGACGGCCGCGCAATCCCATTATCTTGGAGGCAGCTCACCGCGATCTCAACGTACTTATTCAAACACGCATTTGCAATCTTACCCCTCAAGCTCGGATCAAAGATCTGATCAATTTTTCCAGTCTGATGACAGATTTTGGTCCACTCAGCTAAGCTCATTTGCTTCTTCTCTACTGTACGAATCAAAGCTGGCCTCGCGCACAATACCTCACACAACACTACCCCAAATGAGTACACATCAGACTTCTCCGTCAGTTGTTGACGACAATAGTATTCTGGGTCCAAATACCTGAAACTACCCTTCACCACCGTGCTAATATGGGTCTTGGACACGGTGGTGGAGCCCATTTTTGAAAGCCCGAAATCTGAAACCTTAGCCACCCATTTCTCGTCCAATAAGATGTTCGTGCTCTTCACGTCCCTGTGAATGATTGTGTACTTCGCGCCCGTGTGAAGATAGTGCAGCCCACGTGCCACACCAATACAAATCTGAAGCCTTTGATCCCATGCAAGAGGTGGATTATCAGTGTGATAGAGATGGTCGCGGAGGGTCCCACGTGCCATGTAATCATACACCAAGATCATCTCACCTTCATCCGTACAATACCCGATGAGCAGCACCAAATGATTGTGGCGGAGCTGCGAAAGCACCTCGATCTCCATCTTGAACTCGAGGGCCCCTTGTGATGACTCTAGTTTCAGCCGTTTGATTGCAACGGAGGTGGTGCCACTGTTAACGTTGATGTTCCCTTTGTACACGTGGCCGAACCTACCAACGCCGATAATGAAAACACTATTGAAGTCTTGGGTGGCGGCTTTGATCTCAGCCAGTGAGAAGTTACGACACAGATCCGACGGTAGAGACGAACTAAGAGTCTTGGTTGACTTGTTCGTCGAAAAAGAAAATGGACCCCACTTTGTTCCGTGGCTGGAGCTTGAGTCTTTGACTTTTCCTCCTCGCCTGAAACCCAAGAAAATTCCAAGAACAAAGACTAAAACAAGTACGCCGGAAACTACACCGGCGACGATGGCAATCAGAGAAGTCGAACTCTTCTTCGAAATTTTGGGAGACATCTTTGGAGGGGTTAGAGGAGGCGGGTCAGGATTGAGACAGGCAAGATTCCGATTTGTGACACTGAGTTTGAAGATCTCTAGCCCATTCAAGATTGCATCGTTGAAATTGGTAAATAAATCTATTGGGCCTGCTCCCAGTGCGAGAAAGAGATTAACTTTCTCTGGCTTGCAGGGCCTGCAGGCATGAACACAACGTAGTCCTTTGTTTGTGCCTAATAAATCAAGGTCATAAATTGAGTGAAGGGACTTTTTTGCGGCCTCGGTGCCTACCGTTTCGTCAAGCATTTCGCTTTCCTGAGAACAAAAGAAAAGCTACAAAGGCAGAATCCTCTCGGTCTCGCAACCGTAGTATTGAAGGCCGAAGCCGAAGGCCGTAAAAGACATGGCCGAAGAAGCTGTGGTAAAATCGCCACGTGGCCTCAGGGTCCCACGCCCCATTTAATGAAGTAATGCCTCTGACTTTCGCAGCAAACCCACTAGTCGCAAGAAACATTTAATGCGCAAGGGAAGTGACTGAGGTCAGGATTTGCTGATGGAAATCAGGGTGGTTAGGCGCAGACATTCTCACAAATAATCTTACGACTTGAGGTTAGATCACCAACCACCAGACCAGGGCATTAAATGCGTTCCCACGGCCAATGGGGCAGAACCCACGATCAGGGCGGTGGCCGAGATTTGCCGGGATTTATGGGAGTCACACCACTATGCTTCACGATCCCAAATGCCAATTTGATTACCCACTTGCCCCGGTCAGACTCCACCACGCAGGTCTTGTCAGCTTCGATTGTCCCTCCAAGACTCCTCCTATAAATACTAAGCTCGGGACTACATTCAAAGGGTTCAAACACCAAACCAAAAGCGAGATTTGCGCAGAGCCAACACTTTTGGCACGCCCGGTGGGGCCCTTGTCAAAAACTCATGGTGGAAACTAGGGCACAGACAAAGCTCAAAAACAAAACAGTCGAAATGACTTCCGAGGCCCCTGAGTCCACCTCACCAATCACTGTCACCGAGACCGAACACGCGGTCAGAATCTCGGCCAGCGGTCCGATAATGATGGATCGCGCGGCCGAGACCATGGGAGAGCAAGCAGTCATGGAAGATCTGATGGCGAAGCAGGCCTACAGGATAGAAACATCCTTTATGGCCGCAATGGACAGATTCTCCTCAGAGCTACAGACGCTCTTTCAGGAGAAGATGCCGGTGACATCGTCCGCAACGCCTCTCAGAGCCGGACAGAGAAGCCAAGAGCGCGAGAGGTTTGAGCCCTACGGCGAAAGCAGCAGCCTTGGCGTCTCTGGCCGCACCCAAGCGTCAGGCTACGGCCAGCATTCTCAGCCGCCGACAAACAGCTAGGGGCAATCCCAGCCAACATGGGTAAATCTCGGACCGAGCTGCCCAGCGGAGATGGCATACGGCCCACTCCATGCTTTTGCCGTGTCACTGGGGCAAAGCAGCCCCACACATTCCGCGGTCCAGCAACTTGGCCCAGTTCACACTGTGGCCGTCCAGACCCATCCCTGCCCAAGCAACTCGACCGCTGCTTCGTCACAGCATTACGATCAGAGTAATCCGACCGTTTCACCATTACATAAATCGTTATTGCCGTCAAGCTCCCATCTTCAGTACGGTTCAGCCGTTCCAACAACAACGCATACGCACCCCGGTCAAACCTACGGCACATATCTGGTATCGCCCAGCTCGGTCGCAACTGACGAACCCCCCGTTCAAGTGGCTCAGCAGGTAAGGCTGCAGAACGAGGGGCAACAAGTTCCACGGCCAGTCACGGCCCAGCAAGAAGCGCCCCCTCAGGGGCTCCGATTTGAAGACGTCCAACGAATGATTGAGGATGGCCTAGCTCAGAGGCGCCCGGGAGCGCCAAGGTATACCAAACCATACCCGCCAGAAATTGACCGAACCCCTCTTCCCCGGAACTATCGGTTGCCAGAATTCATTCTATTCTCTAGGGATGGGCAGACCTCCTCCATTGAACACATAGGCCGCTTCACGGCCCAGTAGCTCCGTTATTCGTTCACTCTCTGGCCGGCGTGGCGTTCTCGTGGTTCATAAACCTTCCGCCGAATTCGGTGAGGGATTGGTCTGACATGGAAAGGGTATTCCACGAACATTTCTATCAGATCAACCGGGAAATAACGGTCGCCGAGTTGGCAAGGATAAGCCAAGCGTCAGATGAATCACCTCGCGACTACCTGCAGCGGTTCAAAACGTGCAGGAACTGGTGCCGCACGAACCTACTGGAGAAGGAATTTGTCAAGATGGCCGAAGAAGGATTGGAATTCGAATATCGGAAGAAATTCCAGGGAATTGAATTCCTGGACATGCACGACTTAATCAACAAGGTGGACCAATACGCATCCTTGTTGAAAGAAGAGGTGCAGAAGAGGACGACTTCAAAAGGGACTTACTATCGAAATCCCGTTGTCAGCTATGCCGAAGCAGACGGCCCCACAGAGGCCGAGAGCGACAAAGTTGAGATGAGCTCAGCCGAGGTCAGCATAGACAAGCCATTCGTCTGCAAAGGACTTGTGAAGGCCGATAATAGTCGCACAAAGATTCCCGAAGCCAAGTTCGCAACTCGAGAAACGAAGGCCTACACTTTTGATTTGACCAGGTCCGAAGCTATCTTTGACCTACTGTTAACCGAGAAAAAGGTCAAATTATCTTTCGGCCATAAAATTCCGAAACCCGAAGAGCTCAAAGGAAAGATGTTCTGCAAATACCACAATTCTTGGTCTCACAACACCAACAACTGCGTCGTTCTACGAGACGTCATCCAGAAGTTAATAGACGAAAAGAAGCTCCAATTCCCGGAAAAGGCGGCCATGCAAGTCGACTCTTAGCCATTCCCTCCGCCTGTCATCAATATGGTCAACGCTCAGCTCCGGGCCAAATATAGGGAAGTTCGTCGGCCTGCATAAGGAACGGAGGCGTTGGCCGAACTAGAGCCGGTACCGTGCAGTCGGTGCAAGTATGAGATCGGTCAGCTCAGACCGCCAGAAAACAAAAGGAAGGCCATCTTGACCGGCTATGAGGAAATTCAACGGCCAGTACGATCATCGGCCAGCAAGAAGAGTTGTTTTCGACCGACTAGGGGCACGAAGTCGCTCTTAGGCCGGTGAAGACTTTAAAACCACCGGTCGTACGGGATGACCGTTGGTATCATGCATGACCTGGGGGTAGCATCGAACCGCTGACAAAAACCCAGCTGAGAATGATGCAGAGGCAAGTTCAACAGGCTAGGATACAGACGGCCCAGGTCGAGGGATTAAAATGCCAAAAGAAGATGACGACTGCAGACGAACCACCATCTGCACCAATCGTTCCCCCTAATGCGAAGGTTGCCAGCGTCAAGCCTCCAAGGACATGGCGCCCTAGGCAAGACGGTTATCCCCGCGGAATGACAGCCGTTTCGGTTGAGCTAAAGGCTGCGGCCCCGGAGGAAACGGATAAAGGCATCATCGATGTCTACCACAGAAGGGACCCCTTTTTCGGCCAACGAGTTGTTCTTTCTCATGGAATTCTACAAGGACCACTCGGTCATCGACCTATACGGCATGACCCCTGAAAACCGCAAAATTGTGAAATTGGCTCTCAGAAACGCCAAGGCAGAAAGGCTCCTCATTACCAACGAATTCGACTCGGCCATTAAGGCCGTATACCAGGCAAACCGAGAGGTCAGGGCAAGAGAAATGCCGGGTTACTGACCCGAGCAGGGAAAATTGGAGGCCAAGGCCCCTTTTAGCAGAAGCGATTTAGAATACCTCCGTCGATATTTTACTGTGACTCCAGCCGACACCATCTTCGGTCTGACGGCTAAGGAAAGGGCCCGAGTAAGCCGGCTGAACGATTACTTAGCGGCCAGGGATGCGTTAGCTAAGGCTAGACAAGCCCTCGAGGAGAAAGTCGAGACCTTAGACCCCCCTAAGACCAAAGCGACCACAGACGATACCCCTGGGACTGCAAGGCCTATGGCCGAGGGCCCTGGCGACCTTTTCTTTGGTCACGAGGCCGAGGATGACTCCGCGTTTGGAATCTCCGATGAGGACTGCAAGGGGATCCTCGGGATGATTGAGGAAAAAACCCTTGCCATTGGCGGCTTTGAGGTCAACAAAGAGGCTGGTGGGGGAAACCAGCGGAAGCCAAAGGAGGTCAGCATGAACATGGTTTTGGTGCTACCGTCTGAGTTTTCAGCCCCAAGAGGCCAGACGAATGGCCTGGATAATGACGTGGCCGAGGAACAGCTTGATCAAAGGCCAAAGACAAAATAAGAATTGTTGGCCGTGGCTTTTAACGAGGTAATACCTAGAGATGAGCCAAAAAAATACCGACACCTCAAGCCGTTATACATCTCGGCTCATGTAGAGGGTGTGCCCGTGTCCAAGGTCTTCGTTGATTGTGGGGCGACAGTCAACATCCTTCCCTATTCCCTGATGAAGAAGATGGATAAGTCAAAGGAGGACCTCTTCCCCAGCGATGTGGTCATGAGCAGTTTTGTCGGCGATAAATCTAAGACTATCGGGGTGTTGCTGTTAAAAATCACTGTGGCCGACCAGACGAGAGTCGCGGCCTTCTACGTAGTCGAATCCAACATGGACTACAATATATTACTCGGTCGTGACTGGATCCATCAGTCCAGATGCATACCGTCCTCCCTCTTCCAACTGTTGTTTTTCTGGGACAGCCAGAAGGTGTCCATGCACCCGGCCGACAAAAAACCCTTTAAAACCAACGTCGTGCAAGCACGGATTTATGACGACGACGTTGGATGGGTTGTCCTCACTGGATACGATGCAAGCGGACGGCCAACCAGGACAACGGCCCAGAAAGTGCTGGAGTTAGGTGCCGAGAGTGTTCGAGAGGATTCGGCGCGCAAAGTATTGATCGACCTCATTGGCCTTTAGATGACAGACAAAGGCACTAGAGAGGAGGGAGCGGCGGCCGTGACCGACCTGCTGGAAAGACTGCTGGAACATTGGGCAGAGAAATCCTTACAGCCAAACTCGCCGATCAACCTAATCGAATTCCTCCACGAGTTGAATGAGGCGGACACTTTAGCCTTTGACGACTTGGGAACGACGCCCGCCGAGATAGAGGATGACTACCCCGAGGTCCAAGACCTGTTATTAGAAATAAATGTAGGGACCGAGCCCGAACCACGACCTCTTTTTGTAAGCCAGCT